TTTCAAAAAAGTATGAAAACCCAGGGCTAGTGCCACTTATTCTCTTTACCATATATGGTATTATCTTTAAAACTGTGTCTTCTAGGATTAAAACAGATATTTTTAATACAAATTTCCTGCTATTGTCATCGGAGCAATAACTCTTAAGTACGATCCACAAGGAAATTATTTGAAATAAAAAAATTAGATTAAATAACAATTAAATAAATTATTATTTATCTGGTGGAAGAAACCAAAATGTTGCGTTTATAATGGACTGTGAATTTATTTCTTTTAATTAAAAACAATGACAATCTTTTTACCCTATCTTTGCTGGTGGCTCTAGATCGGGATAATTTCTTCTTAATTTTCCTGTGGGCTAACATATAACGTCTAAAGCGATCATTCATACAATTTTTATAAATGGTACGATATTTTTAGAATTGATGTAGCTCAGTGCTACTACAATAAAAAGTAACTAGTGATATTTTTTATGTTTTGTTGGTTTTATTATGACTTATGAAAAACGAATGGCTACGTTCGAAAACAATATGATGTTCATAGAATTTCTCGTAGCTATTCGCTCCGTGCGCGACAGCAGCGCCAATTCGTTTTGGTACTAATGGACTATTTCTGTGTATACTGACAAATACAATTTTTAACAGAATTCGTAATTAAAAAATATATGTTAGTTTTAATAAAAGTGTATGGATTTGTAAAAGAAGTAAAACATTAATTTATTATTATTATTATATATTTTGATCGCTTAAATTAAAGAAAATTATGTATAATCAATAAAAATCAATAATAAAATATAGGCAGGCAACAGTATTTACTGGAAAATGTATGAAAAGTTGGCTAAGTCTAATGTCTAAAGTCTTTGAAGAATTAACCTATCTGTCAAAATAAAAAAATATCTTTAAATGATTAGCGTGAAGTTAAAATATATAAACAGAAGGATTGTTATTTATATTTTCAATTTTCTTCGAAAGAAAACACAGAACGAATGATTAAAACTGGTTTCCCATCAGTAAGTCACAATATTGCATTCCAGCCACAATAATCAAAGCAGAAATTTTGAAATCTAGTCCTTGCTGAATGAACATTTAAGAATAAAAGGGTATTAAAGAACATCGTAAAATGATAATTTATTGTTTATTTAAAACCTTTCAAGTTTCTGATGTCTACTATTTCCAGCATTATTGTTATTATTACAAAAATAAAGGTAATTTTTCTTCTTATTGTACACCTATCCATTTATTTCTTTGATTTAATTTCGACTTTGCTACTGAAATTTTTTATATAAGTTTCACTGTTTTTTTTTGCTAGTATTTGTACAATTTTCAACACAGCAACTCCGGTTGCTTATTGTATTGTTTTTACATACTTTTTTGAAAAAAAGTAAAATGTATACGTGTATTTGATATGCCAAAATTACAAAATATCGCCTTAAAATGCATGAATTATCCGCTGCTAGCGCTAGTATCGCTTTTGCTTCCCTTTCCATGAATTCGCACGGAGCGAATAATACGCGTAATAATAAAAAACTAACTTATCCAGTAATACTAAAAAAGTCCATTTCACAACGAGCTTACTCTTATATTGCTGTAAAATTCTATAATTCTATTCCTGAACTATTAAAAAAAATTAACAATACATCCATGTTTTAAAAAAAACTAAAATTATTTATTTTAGAAAGGCCAAGATTATTTACATTAGATATTTTAGAAGAAACTAAATAATACCAATACAATCATTAAATAATAGTAGTAAAATAAACAAAATATAATAATTCAAATAAAAAAAAAAAACATTAAAATTAAAATTAAAATTATCAATACTTACTGAAACTAATATATGGATTTAACACACTACTGGACTTGACACATAACCCGACTTGACACATAACCCGACTTGACACATTACTATCTGAATTAACTTACGGTTTTGATTTTCTTGAATAATTACTTCTAACTTAGAACCCTATTGATTTTCAGAATTTTCGGTCCATCCCAACTAGTTTAATATCAATTTTCTTAAAATCCGCTTATGCATTCCTTATGTGACAATTTTAGGAATTCCAATCATTTTTAACGTCTAAAATTCCTAACATTCTATAAATTGCAAACATTCTTTAACGACCTGCTAAACAACATAGTAAAGGTGAGATTTCTAAGGCGGGTTACGACCTTCATACTTGCAACCATAGCCATTTTGGAGGGTATTTTTATTCGAAATTAGTCGCCAAGCCTGCCAATTTATGAAAAATTAATAAGCAGTTTCTTAAAAATTACTTGTTTATGGTGGTGCTAACTTAAGCGTACTACTAATTCACCCCTAGTCACAAAAACACCTTCATCAAATTTACTGGCTCTCTGTCCCAACCCGATAGAATAATTAACGGGCCATTTTATTTGGCAAAAATCAGAATAATGCTTGGCTGTGCCTGTCAAGTATCAAGATGTCAACTGTGATGTGTGAAAATGTCAAATTATTTAAAAATGTATGCTTCTTTTAATATTTATTGCAAATAATTAGTAATGTATTTCTATTTTCACTTCAGGCTTCAACCACCATTTTAGCGTCTCTCGAATTCAATTTGGCTTACTTTTGTCAATGGGGATTGTTGTTCCATTTTAAATATACAGCTCACGAACCGGGTAATCATTTGAAACCTAATTTTGTTTAATAAATATCGTTTATAAAATTCGAATAAAAAATAGTAGAACTTATTTTCTGTAAAATAAAATTTTACGTTTGAGTTGCATTTTTATTAAAATTTGTCATTGGCAAAATATTTACAAAACAATCCTTTGGATTCTGGTTAATAAACTATTTGATACTCCCATGGAGATCACAGCTGTCAAAAGTTCGTAGATACTTATCTATATTTCATTTGTTTATCTGAGCTTTACACTGAAAAAAAATGTCTGTTATATTAACAAAAACTAGCTGTTGAAATAACAAATGTTCTGTTGCTATACAACCGACACAAGATTTTGTTAAAACAACAAAACACTTTTTGTTATTTGAATGAAAAATAATTCTGTGTCTCTTATAAAAATATTTGTTTTCTTTACAAATATTTTTGTTTGCCAAACAATTTTTATTATTGTATTTTTCACAAAAAAATTTGTACTTTTGTAAATGTAACAAAAATATTTGGTAATAAATATGAAAATAAGTTGATGGTATAATAAATAATTTTGTTCTTTATACAATTTCTTTTGTTCTAATGACATTCCAATTTTGTTGTATTAACACATTTCTTTTGTTGTGCTAACGCTTCTTTTTATTTGTTTTGACACTTCTTTTTGTAATTTTAACAATATTTTTTAATAAATGATACTTACATTTTTGGTTATATCTTCGAAACTCGTTTTGTAATAATAACATTTAATTTTGTGGTATTAACAAATAATTTTTTGTTGTTCTAACGAATCTTTTTACTTGTTTTGACACTTCTTTTTGTAAATTTAACAATATTTTTTGTAAATAATATTTACATTTTTGTTAAATACCAACTTCTTTTGTAATAATAACATTTAATTTTGTTTTATAACCAAATAAATTTTTGTTGCATTAACAAATACATGTTTGTTGTAATAACAAATAAACTTTTGTTGTGCTAACGAATCTTTTTATTTGTTTTGACACTTTTTTTGTAATCATAACCATATATTTCTGTAACTAATACTTAAACTTTCTGTAGAAATAACATTGATTTTGTTTTTTTAAAAAAACTGGTTTTCGGTAATATAGTAGATGTATTTATCTTACTAAGTTGTGGATAAATAAATAAATTGTTCTGCCGCTTTAAAAAACAAAAATATTTTTTAAAAATCTCACACTTTCAAAAAAGTAAAATATATTTATTGGTATACTGGTTTAAAGGTTTTGTAAAAAAAAATAATTAATGTCAAACAAAACGTTTATGTTTAAGGAACATATTTAAGAAACATATTTAAGAAACATATTTAAGAAACATATTTAAGAAACATATTTAAGAAACATATTTAAGGAACATTCTTTAACATAATTACATTGAGTAGGTATAACAAATAAATAATCAAAACTAATTGATTAAAAAAAAAACAAAAATAAATTATTTTTCAATGTATTTAAGCCTGAGGTACCTAACTAAACGATTTTTTCCAAATCTGAAATTAATTGTTTTGAATTTAAAATAACTTCGTCTATCGGAAGTTTAATTTCATATAAGTAGTGTTGAATAAATTGCCAAACGGAAATACATTCTCTTGGGTATGCCAAATTAAATACTAAATAAATTTTAAACGCACATTCCAAGGCTGACAGTGTAGAAAAAAAATTATATTTTATATCATCAAAATATACAAAAAATTCTTTTGGTTCTCCTGAATGATCACTTGATCAGTAATAATAATTAAAGGCTGCAATGTTTCTTTTGCTGCCAATTTTTCCTCCATTTTCATTCTGATTTTTTGATCTACTTCATTAATTGATTGGCCTGTCAAGGCAAATGCTTGCTTTGAATTTTCGATTGTATACCTTTTATGAATTCTTTTTCCTTCAACTCTTTTTACTTCTTTGGAAGTAGGTACCAATAGACCATGAATAATTTGAAATATCAAGAAAACTTGACGTTCTGAAATGAAATTTAAAAACCTGTTATACCTAGTCCATTTCTAACTTTATTTTTCTACGGCCATAATACGAAATTAAACTGTCTCTAGTCTTTTTTATAAGGAAATGAGGTGTATTATATGACATAATTTCAATTTCTTTTATGTAACACAATTAATCAATTTAATAATTATTTGAATAAAATCATGTTTGCTGTGCAATGTCAAACATTCAATAATTAAAAGAGAACCGTCATTTTAATAGTATAAATTACAAAAATTAATTAAAAATTTGTAGCACCGGGTTATAGCCATAGAAAAAATAGATATAATCTTCAACTCTCAAGGACTGCTTATTTAAATTTAAATAATTACTAATTTACGATCAATGAAAAATTGTTCTTTATAAAAACTTACTCGCTTTAGCACAATTTTTATTAGTGTCATATAATGAGGAAGTTTCAGGAAGGTTATTCGTGTTAATAGACGTTGAAATATTGCCGTCTAAGTCTAATCTTTGAATAGAGTCTATGGTAACATTTGCGGACATATGTGTATTTATCATATGTCTTTTAAATCTTGGGAGATCTGAAAAATATTGTTAGCAATTTTCCTCACAACATTGGTATATGCTTTTACTACTTAAACAATGAACATTTCTGAAATGATCTATCAACAATGATAAGTTATTATAGTATTTTTTACAAACAAAACAAAACATTTTCTTCAATATTGTTTCATTGTTATGTACTTAGGTATTATATTTTCTACAACTTTACTTATTCTACAAATTATTTTAATAGTGTTGTAGTTTTTTAGATGAAAAAGTAGCTAATTTTTTTTTATGTGCCAAAGAAATATTGTTTATAATACCTAGGTATCAATTATTCTAAACTACATAAATATTACAATGTTTTAATATAATTCACAGTTTTTTCATTCTTACCTTGCTTTTATTTTCTACAAGTTTTTTGTTTGTTTTCATTCAAATCACTGAATAGGTACCTAATATTGCACAATTCAACTTCGAATAAACGACGCTTTAAAACAGAAGCCGTTGGCAGTTGGAAATAAGGGAAAGGGAGGTGAAAATGGTTTTGTTAATGCAACAAAATTTTTGTTAAATTTACAAATATTTTGTATTACCAACAAATTCACTTTGTTAATATTACAAAATATTTTGAGGTTGAGTTCTGAAATACCAAGAAATGTAAAGCTTTAAAATTCTTAGGAAGTTCTCGCTTCTGGTTCGTTCCAAGAAACAAGTACAGTATCATATATTAGCAAAAGACTTGAATGTCTATACACTTTGAAATATATAATGTGTAAACCGTAGAGGGAATGAACTAAAAACTAAAAAAATTAGCTAGGAATTTAGAGGAACTTTTAAGGAATTAGAAATTTATGGGTAATTACAAGGAATTGGGAATTGAGAACAGTTGGGACAACTGCTAAGAAATTGTGGGAATTGTCAAGATAATTGTCACAGACGAAATTGTATATTACATAGCGAGTGTAAAAAATCACTTCTAAGCAAGTGATACAATATTTTTCCTACGACCACAAAATTATTACATCAAAAACCGGGAAATCTGTTTATTTTTCAATCAAGATGTTCCTTGTTCTAAGTTTGTTTTTGATATGCCTTATTGATTTTGAATAATTTTTAAAGTGTTTTTTCTACATTAAAATCATTGTAATTCCAATTACACACACTTTTATAGGATGCTAAAGATAAAATAATTTTAGGTAGGTACAAAACACATTAATTAATTTTTTTTAATACATCAAATAAGATGAACAAGAACTTTTTTTATTAAAGGTGATACTTTTACTAACCTACTTACAATTGTTTCTAACCGTTTTGAAAATAGGTAGTATAAAATAATTAGCGGAATGGATTAATAGAGTGCCTAACTGTAGGCGTTACATTAAGATAACTAAATTTATTTAAATACGTATTTATAATTCCTTATAACATTAACACGTAACTAAATCCCCCACTAAATGGCCATCTCCTGGCTGTGTTCGTATTATTGTAATCCTACATATAATATGCAGTTAGTGGAATAGCTATTTACGTATTAAGAGCGGAAAGTGCTACTTTGCCGCTTGAGATAAAAAGTTGCCGCACGACGCGCAGCGGAGTGCGGAATTTTATCGTAAGCGGCAAATAGCTTTCCACTAGAATTACACACAAGATTTGTTCTACGATCACACGATATTAACAGTATATAGTTTTATTTTGCCGAATTCAAAGCTTACTATGTTAATTTGATTGATACGGCTAACTTGACTAACAAACGAAAAATATATTATGTGTATATTGTGCTGTCTGTTTACTTGAATAGGTGTGTGCAAAAAACAACTTTCCGCCTATTTGCGGCAATAATGTCAAAATATGACAATTCACGGAAAACGTCAACTGTCGAATTAGATTTGAATGCGCAAAAGCCTACTTTAGATACTGATCGTAGAAAAAATATTTTTCTTATATTAAAAAAAATGTCTGCTTGTTTTACAAAATTTTTGGTAACCTATCAGTGGTATTTTGTTTATTAAACAGATCTATTTGTTAATAGATTTAAAAGATTTCTGTAGAATAAACAAAAATATTTTTAATAAATACAAAAATTTTATGTCAATATTGTGTTATTATAACATTAAATTTTGTCCAGATAACAAAATTTGCACGGGGCATAATTGACAAATTATTTTGTTAATATTACAAATATTTAATAAATAAATCTGTCCTTATTACAATTTGTCTTTGTTCTCTTAACGAAAAGTGTTTTGTTAGTTTAACAAATATGTTGTTAAGATTTTGTGCTTTGTTATTTCCTTTTTCGTTGATGTAAATAAATTTTTGATATGACAACAAAAACACTTTTGTTGTTCCTTAGCAAAATCTATTTTGTCAATATTACAGAAAATTTTTACCAGTGTACTCATTAAGTAATTATTATTAAGTACTTTTACACTTTATCCAACAACTAAATTTTTCATTACAGGTATAATGAAGGCTAGAGAGATCGAAACTAATCACGTTAGAAATAATTTATTTTTTATTATTTGACAACATTCGATATTATGGATTTCTTCTTTTTCATTAAAATGAGTTTCTTAATTATCAAAACAAAAAAATCATTTGTGGCCTAAGGGGAAGCTTAGAGCAACAATTGTACCGGTAAATAATTATTCTTGATAAATACTTAACGAACTTGAATACTTCATATTTATACCCAAATTTTTGAGTTGGCACATATGATGTGATGTGATGAAAATGATGATTTATTGTGAAGCTGCCGACCACACAGGGAGTGAGAATCATTTCAACTGTTGCCGTTGTACTAAAAAAGTGTTCCAAGAATAATTTCGTAACATTACTCTTATTTTAATTGCCATTTTGTAAGAGAAAGGTAACATGGATATATAAGTTTTTTGATTAATTATCTTATTACGAAAAATGCAAATATAAAAAATGCGTAATACCTAAATAAATGCAAATAGGTGTGTACAAGTTGCGTGTCAGCGACTATATGTGTATTATTAATATCTTGAATGAAAAACACCAATTTTACAAAAATTTACAGTTGCGAGCTAAATATAAGTAATAATTTTAAGAGTTAATTTGCTGATGCATTTTGTTGATGTAAATGGACATTCTGTTTTTTAAATGACTTAAAAAATTCTATTAACGAGCGCTTAAGGTGAAATTCCGTTAAAAAATAATTATATTATTGTTAAGACTGTATCAGATTAATTTTTACATTTTTTTTTAACCAATGTATAAATGTATAATTTAAGTGAGTAGGTATTGGTTAAAGCAGATTTTTAGTTATTTTGTTTATTTAACAATTAAATATCGACAAAAAAACAGCAGTAACAAGTTAAATTATATATTTTTTTAAACTTTTAAACTTAAATATGTTGATTTTTGCAAGACATTTTGATTAGTTTTAGGTTTTAGTCGTTTCTAAATGATAATCTGATATTTTTATTATTTTAGTTAGACGTTATGTTTTGATTTCCGAATCGTATTAAAATAGAGAAATTAGTCTATACAGGGTGTCTGTAAAAGGTCTTTACAAAAACATACCACATATTCCTTAGACCAAAATAAGTCGATTTAAGTAAAATTACCTTAGTACAAAGTTGCTTCGTTTGGGCTCCAGAGGGCCTTGAAGTTACAATTTTTAAATGGTTTTTCCCATATAAATTTAAAACGGCATATGCGATTTTACTGAAATTTGGTATATTGCTAGAGTTTTATGTGGCAAAAAAAATAGTATTAAAATTTTGTCCGACAATAATACATACGCGTAGAACTTGATTTTTTAAATAATTGCACCTTTAAAAATTCTACGCCAATGCAAGAAAGGGAGTTTGAGTATGAAATTTAGATTACGCAACTCATTTACTCTAAAAAATATACTCTTGATAAGACTCGATTGCTCTTATTGTTTTGACGAAATTTGCATTTTTGTAATTTTAGAACATAAACAATAATTATTAAAATACAAACTTTGTCAAAACCATGAGAGTAAATCGAGTGTTATCAAGGGTATTTTTTTATAATAAATGAGTACCAAATCCAAATTTCATACTCAAACCCCTTTTCTGCCATTGGCGTAGAATTTTTAAAGGTGCAGTTATTTAAAAAATCAAGTTCTACGCCTATGTATTATTATCGGACAAAATTTTATACGATGAAAAACAAATAAAAATGTACTTTTTGCATATCTTATTTAACAGCTCCAATCGAGACTTTTAACAAAAATACTCGATTCTTGCCATGTACGATTTTTTGAGGAATATTAATTATTTGCCTGTAATACGTATACAATAGTACATTATATACCTAGGGTGAGAAGTGAGCTATTATTTACCGAGCACTTTTATATCCTGAGGCGCGTAGCGCCGAGGAATATAATGTGCGAGGTAAATAATAGCTTTCTCAGCCGAGGTATATATAGAATTTTTTTTACTACTAACATTAATATATTAGCAATTTTAATTTTGACATAAGTAATTTCCTAACAATTTGTTAAATATTTCGAAATATCAAGCAGACTGGAGCGTGTTTCTAATCAGACTGCCTTTATTTATGTAAAAATTTGGCATGTGTCAAATTTTGGTATGATTCTAGGAAATATCCCATTGCATTTTTGATATTTTAATGACATGGATTTATTGGTATTAATTAATAATTTTTGAAGTTTATTGCCGGTGTTGAATTTCCTAGTTAATATATATTTTTACTGTTTACACTGATATATATATTATCATATTTGATTTGATTAGATTTGATAAACCCAGATTTAGTTATTTCCTACTTATTTTTTTAATATTTCAAAATATCAAGTAGTCTGGGAGTTTAGTTGTCAAATTAACAAAATGAAACTAATGAAATTTAGTTTCATTATTTACCTAGGTGTTTTTATATTATCATTATTTACCTAGGGTGAGAAATATTACTTCTCATTAGAGGAATGGAGTAAATAATGGTGCTTTCTCATGTTAGTAGTAAAAAAAAACATTTATTGTTGGTTTCCATAGTTTCATCTAAATAAAAATATTGTCAAGTT